TGAATGTAAGTTTACGCCGCATCAGCCACCTGCACCCGACCACGCCTCCGGTTTTCTTGTATTTACCGCACCCGGGCGGGTGAGGGAATAGTGAGTGCGGTAGATGCAACGCAAGTCTACTACCACTTAAAACTAATTCACGCGTAAGTCGTCGCGCTTACCCTCAGCTTGCTGCAGCACGGGCTGGCCATCGTTAAGACCGGCGGTCAAACTGCCAGGGTCTAAAGAACCGGAAAGAACGTCCTCAAAATAACCCTCAAATTTCATTTTTCTGTACTGAGAATGTTATATTGTATTCGTATTTCTGAGTGGGAATACTGGGGGACGTCCCCAACCCCGCGTGTGTCCGTGTGTAACCAGTGCCAGTTGTCTATCGTCTTACTAGGCCTCACTACACCGACAGACTAGCTCGATCCTAGTCCCCAGCAGTCCGTATCAAATCCTGGGCGCCAATAGTGAATTTCGTTGTGAATCCTCACGGTCGTTAACTATAAATGTTTCTTGGTTATAGCGCCAAATTTGGATCTTTGCAATCCAAATGTAAATTGCGTTAAGTCCGAACTCCATCTTTTTCAGTAACGTCTTCAGATAGCTATTCGGATAATTCCTCCAACTGGATGACCATTGCCACACACACATCTGCTGACAAATCAGCGAATAGGCTTCGTTAGAAAGAAGGCAACGATAATTAGTCCCAGCTAGCGTATAGAGGCCTGCTTATGCGGGAAGATGGCATGGGCTGGAGTCGGCCAAAGGAGAGGGTGATATCATCTAATCTGCTAGACTGTTTTAGTATAGATAGTTCTATTATACACTGTGGCATTACATTAAATTACTGCCTGCACGCATATCATTCTCATAGAAGCCTACGTCTACTCTCGTTTCCCTTCGGCTTCATTTTGGCTAATTTTCGCGTTTGCGCCTACTTCTGCGTCAATAAAGCACGTCAGCGGTGAATGGCCGAGGTAAAAAGTTTGTCCTAACATCAAAATGCATGCCGCTAATGAGCAAAAGCCCGATTCATGTGCTGAAAACGCTACCTTATCCCCGACCTTACGATAACGCCTCACAGACAATTTTCTTCTGACTTAGGTAGAGAGAAAGCAATTTTTGAGCATTTCGAAAATATGTCTTTTATTGCATATTTTAGCCTCACAAATAAAATCTACTGTAGTACTGTATTCGCCAATACCATATTTCGTCTCTTGCTGATGCAAGGGGCCCCAAAGGCCAAATGGACCTAATTCTTGCAGAAGTTACTAAGTCCATTTTGAGATCGCTCTCGTCACTGTTTAACGACGTGAACCCAAAATAGTTGGCCGGATCTGCATTTGTAAAACATAGGTGGAGTTGGAAGCTTAACTCCTTCATAAGCTTTGTATTATGGTGTTGCCTTCGTTGGACGAGAAATTGTCATCAGTAACCGCCTATCGGGTCAAACCCAAGTAATCCTATCATAGCCCGATTCTAACATATACTACTTTCAGCACGTCACTTTAAGGCTTCTGGACGCCGGCGAGTGATATCTTATTGGCTGGTGGTCAGTATTCGCCATGTAATACTGCCGTTGTCTGGGGCTTTTGAGAGGACATCCACGGCCTCCCCTTCCTGGAGTTTTTGCCTCGACGGATTGTCACGTCTGACGCCATGCGGGAAATAAATGTAGTCTTTTCACCCCCCTTTCTCCCTGGGAGTTTAAAAAAAAATCCCCAACGAAGAACCTTGTCTACGTCTCCAGGGCGCATAAATGAAGGTCTTGCAGGCATTGGTTGTTGCTCAAAAGCAACCTACTACTGGAATTAAACCGCTACTTGCATAATATACTTCCCACGACCATTACATTGCTAAAATCTCCCAACACATCTCTAACAAGGAAAGTTTGATGTCGAGGTAGTTTTAGTAACGCGATTTTTTGTGCTGCTGGCTCGCTACCGACATGGTGTCACGTGTTAATCCTATGCGTCCGGTTGTTGGGCGTGCCCCTTGGATGTTCTGCTGAATGCCGTGTAGAGTGCCTGGACAGAAGGGACATTGATGTAACCTGGAACAACTGCACTCTCAATATTATCATCCCCATGCCATAACTGTTTTTCGACCTGCAAAACTTTATAGATGTATTTTTATTCGTTGATGAACATTCCCTGATCGCTAACTCGTCCTCGGGGCTCACTCTCAAGCCCCACCAGCAGCTACACAAGGACTA